GTTTATCACATATGTATCTAATTAAGATCTTTTATTTCTGGAAGTTTCAGCTCTCTAACTATAACTAATATCCATTTAAAACAAAAGAGCCCTGAGTATTTTTGTTTTTGAATAACTTGAGAACAGGAACAGCTAACGAGCTGCAGTTTTCATCGGTCTAAAGAAGAGAGATTGGAACGTTTTTGTCTCCGATATTGCATAAGAAGAAACTGTTTTAGAATTCACTGTTTTTGTGGGTGTGGGTGTAGGTATTATATGCTTGCACACCCACACCCTCAGTATATAATATTAGCATTTTAGACTTGATAAAACCTTTTTTTTGTCAATCTGTTTGTGATATCAAGCAAACAAACAGAGACTCAATGATAGAGAAGTTTTATTATCTTCTAGCTACAGATTATGCCAATACTGGCTATTTACATCTTAACAAGAATGTAAATTATGAAGTACAAATAAAAAATATCTATCTTCATTATTTGAAATAATCAACATTAAAATGCAATCGTAAAAAAACTAATATTTTCTTTTTCGCTCTGTTTATTTTTAGTTTCTTCTCAACATTAAATACCAATAGAGTATGTTTCATATAGGAATACATTTCTTCATTGATCTTCTATGAATAATTTCAAAATGATATGAAAATACAAAATATAATTTATTTACTGTGTCCTCATGTTCACTACACAATATTCCGGAGTGACTATCTGAAATGCTCAGATACGAATAAAGCAAAAGAATAGTTCTTTTTTTTTTATAAAGTTAATTTTATAATACAAAATTCAAGTAATTCTTCTGTTGTTAACACAAACTATTTTGCATTAGGCAGTTACTTTTTCAAGTAACAACTAAGTTTTATTCGATATTAAGAATATGATCATATAAATGCATACGCTGTTCTTTTCCTTCTCGTTCACATCTGCGAAAAAAAAGAGAACTGATAAAGACCAGTTCCAATTCTGAGTAAAGGTATATAAATAAATCTGTATCTAGTTATGCTACCAGAAATTTAAATGTTGGCTATGTATGCGTATGCATGGTATGGTAATTTATAAAGAAGAGAACTCTAACCTGTATGGGATACTGTAAAGGATTCAAACAATATAGTGAAATCAAATTGTACGATCTTGTATGAACGCGCAATAATCTGTGATTGATCTCACTGTCTGATTGATCGACTTGGATCTATTCGTTTGAACTAAAACTTTTAGTATGTAATAATTGTTGTGAGATTTGTTATTGAAGAAAGTTTCAAATGGAGACTCGTTATTGCAGTTCTTTTTGTGAATATCCTGCAATATGCTGAAAATTTACTAGAACAATCATGAAAGGCTTAAGAGCACAAACATGTTTAATGTTTTCATCATGACTATGAGTCCTACTTATGATCTCGAACAGAGGATATCAGTTGGAGAAGTTCTCTCAATACCCATTTGCTGATAAATAGGACAAAAAAAAATGGTTGCTCATGTTTTTATTAGAGTCATACAAATTATATTTAAAAAATTTCTTTATAGTTAGTGAGATAGATAAGGTATGAGTGGGAGTGAGGATAGGACTACTCTAAGATAAGTGAGATAGAGTTATGGGTGTTAGTTAGATCGTCTTCCCAGGTTAGACGTTAAACACTGGCCAGGAACTATCTTGGTGTCCGTGGCACACGATCAGGCTTATTCAGACTCATTGACATATCTCTCGCGGGGAGGGTATGAATGATATGAGTCTGTCCTGTGCGTGCATGAGCGTTACGCTCGCCACGGCTCCACCAGGATGGTTCCTGGTCGCGCGCGCGCGAATAGAATAGAATAAGTCATTCATTTCATCAATTCAATGTGATTTATTTGAAACGAAAGGAACGCAAACAAAAATCTATCACAACGAGTCTATTCGATTGAAAAACGTTGAACACGATGGTTCCCATAATCGACGACATAGAGATTGCCATGTTGATCGAAGGACAAACCGACTGGACCGTTGAACTGATTTGCTCCTGCTCCTTGACCATTTCCACCCACAATGACAGTGCCCTGTTTCGCTCCTTTAGGCCAACGCATCACTCGATGATTCCACGAGTCCATCACATAGATGGTACCCAATGTATCGACGAACAGTCCTTTAGGATGATTCAATTGTGTCAGAGCATTCCCATAGCCTTGACCTCCAGCGACGACAATTCCTTCTTTTGCACCTTTATTCCATTTCATTACACGATGATTGTCCCTGTCTGACACGTAGACAGTCTGTTGTTGATCGACAAAGATGTAGGTCGGCCAGTTGAGTTGATTGAGACCAGTATCTTCGCCATTGCCACCAGCTACAAGAGCTCCATTCTTGTCTCCTATTTGATATCGTCTTACTTCATCTTTGTCGGTGTCAGAGATGTAGAGATATCTCTGATCATCCATGGCCAATCCAGAACACAAGATGTTGTCGATAAGGATTTCTCCTTGAGCTGTGCCACTACGACGAGACCATCGTACGACTCGTCGATTCTCTCGGTCACAAATAATGAGACTATTCGTCTCTTTGTCGATCAACACATCGGTTGGACTATTCAATTGATCCAATCGATTTCCTCGGCCCTTGCCACCAGCTACAACTTGTCCATTCGTATCACCCATCTTCCATTGGATGATACGATGATTGTCGTAGTCAGCAATGACTATCGTTTGATCATCATCAACGAAGAGACCAAGAGGCCCGTTGAGTTGATTGCTGGCACTGCCTAGTCCATAGCCTCCAGCAACAGGTACTCCATTCTGTGCCCATCGGGCATCGGGTGGAATATCAGGAATTCCTACAATGAACAAAAAAGAAAAGGAATCGTCGTTGTCGAAGGGATCTCGTCTCTCATGAGAGCAGGCGCTACAAATACGACATTCCTCTTTGAAAATGCTCATTCCACAGATAAAAATTCAGAAGTCTTTTCTTAGTTTCCTATGAGAAAAAAAGGATTTGGTAACGATTCTTACATCTATGTTACTTCTAGTTCTTGACAAGATCTTTTTGATCATAAAAATAACACCTGGAGATTGCTGTAAGGAGGTTCTCCGAGAAAGAGTAATACTAATTCCATGTAAGTTTTTGATAGAAAAACATAAGGATCTGAGGATTTTTTCAGAGTTGCAAGAATTCAGAATCTTTTTGGCAGAATGATCATTTATATGAACATCAGAGAAGATTCTATCTACATATTGTGAGAAGAATATCGAATCATTGAACAACAAAATATCAAACCTAATCCCTATGTTTTTTAGGAAACCTTAAGGATACATGATTTTCTGTATGATAAATGTAGATCTGCCGAAGAATCTCCTAAGTATTTGCATAGACTTTTGGTAAGTTATGTGAAGCTGTTCGAAGAACAACCATGATGTACTCTGAGTAAGATCATGAGAAGGTTTGGATATAGGAGAAATTGAACAATGTTGAGAGGATTCCACGCGAATCTATGTAATCTGAGAGGGCTTCTACTTTTGCAAATGTTGAAAAGATGGATGTCAATCCGAACGGAGTTCTCCAGTGAAAAACATTGGGATCTATGGATTTTATGGGCTTTGAAAAGAAAGTGTCCTAAAATGCTATTTTTAACTTTTGATGAACACCATCTTCAAACCATTGTATAAGGGTCCTCAAAGAGAATTTTGATGACTAAATAAGATACTCTGTCAAAATCTGAAAATCTAAAAATAATGAGTATCTTCTATGAGGATCATGTTATAATCCTTATGTAGTACTTGTTCTGAGAAGTCTTCTGTAAGCTTGCATGTTATGGATATGTTCAGGAGGATCTGAAGAGTAAGTATTTTGGAATGGTTGATATTAGAGATGGGCAATTACAACTCCAAAGTTGACACTATTTCTCATCAGAATGAGAGTGAAGGTGCCTATCTCTGGATTTTATGAGAAAGTTTATAAAACAATAGATTAATATGCTACTAATTGATATCAATCGTAGATTTAATTATGTTAAAAAACTTATGTGTACTTAAGAGTGTTTTGGTAGAAGTTCAGTTTTCTGAAATTCGACTGGAATTGAAGCTAAATCGGAGTTGGAGTAGGATTTTAGAAAAAAAAGAGTGGAGTGGTATAAGGTTGGAGCGAAACACACTGTATTTGATGATGTGGAGTTTTAGAAAATAGGACTGGAGTTATGTGGAGTTGGAGCAGGATATAGTGTAGTTGTCCATCTCTACTTAATACCCAAATGTCGATCCTAATCAGTACCCATCGCTTCTTTTCTGGAACATTGGGAATTACTACAATGAATGAAAAAGAAAAGGGATCATCATTGTCGAAGAGATTTCGGGAATGTTCTTTTCGAAGATAAAAATTCAGAAGGCTTTTACTAATTCCGTATAAAAAAAGGATTTCGTAACGATTTTCACGTCGATATCACTTCTAGTTCTTGTCCAGATCGTTTATATGGTAAAAAGTAGAGCCTTGCAGTGAGTGAAAACTGTACATGGAAATTGTTGTAAGGAAGTTTTCCGAGGAAGAGCAATGGACATGGCCATGCATCGGTCCTCCATGCATGGGGAGAGGTTCGAATTAAAAAATCAAGAAAACTAAATATGTCAATTGAAAGGGTACTAACGATAGTATATACGGCAGATGTCACTACCTACCCCTATATGCAGTTATGAAGTAATGGTAATATCATTTTTTCTTCTAGTGAGCTTCTTACAAAAAAATGATTGAATCATCACAAATAAAAACATCTGATTTTTGATGAAATTCCGTAATAAAAACTACTTATAGTGTATTTTATTCGCTTATATGGCAAATTAATTTTAAAGAAACTTCATAATCAGATAGATCTTTTCAAAAGCTATCGAATGCACCGGGTTTTTTTATTAACCTTTGGTTGTATTTTTGTGCATTTTTTTAAAAAAATACTTCGTTACGAAATTTCATTAGAAGAAAAAATATACATGTGAAAGAATTGTAACTTTTTTGTACAATTATATATTTTTTCATTTTGTTCCTTGATATCTGCCAGATTATCACAGAAAATTTCGGTCCGGTACAGTGTTGCCAGATGGATGAGTCCAAAATCCGGAAAGCAATTCAGAAAGGCTTTCGAAGATTAATTTCAGCCAGTAAAAGGATATTTTTCTTTACCAAATTATTAATAACGTTGTTTTTGATCTTCACACAATATATTTCAATGAATAAAAGCGAAAAAATATCAAAAGATAACTAAACGATTAGCAACTCATAAAAAGATCTATTTTGACATGAAGGATATGGATGTAAATCTACATATACAAATCCTTGTCGCTTAATTTTGATTAAACATTCTGCAACTGTCAGAGAAAGACGAATGTAAAGTACGATCACGTTGTTCATTCATTTTACTGTCAATGAATAAAAGAAAAGCGAGAAAATAACCCATGACAGAAAAAAATATTTAAAAATCCGATTGAAAATCCATTGCAAAGGCACTGTTTTAATCTGACTTTAACTCGATTTTTAAGCCTTAAAGACGGATTTCATTTGATTTCAACATTTGTTAATCTATTTTAATTGGTTAACAAATTATAATTAATTAAAATCAATTTCTAATAATCACTTGTAATTAATTTTATTTTAATAATCCATTAAAAGAGATAGAAAGCAAAGTTAAAATCAAATGAAATCTGTCTTTAAATGTGAAGACTCTGATTAAAATCACATTATAATAGTACCGTTTTAATTGATTTTCAGTCTGATTTTTAATCTTTTTTTCTTAGCTGGAAGTTGGTCCGTTGAGCTGATCAATAAAAAAAGCAAAGCTTGCTTCACATAATTGATAAAGTTTTACTAATATTAATAGATACGTAAAATATCATTGAAATAGAAAGTATCTGAAATCCGGAAAAAATCCAGAAGATCTGGCAACACTGATCCAGTAGCTTACCAACTCATAGAGATACAGACGTCAAATATTAAAAATATACATTTTTGCAAAGAGTCATCGTACAAAAAAAAAAGATTTTCTAAGGAAGAAAAGAAAGAAGTTGAAAAATAATAACCTTGTTTTATTCAGCATCCGACGAACTATTCAAATACATAAATCGTTGATACCATTGTTATCTCTGTCTTGCTCATCCATGACCAAAACACTGTTACAAACACTTTGTCTCTTTTATGTAGAGAAACACAAAACCTTTCCTAGCAGACGAAGGAACCCACTCAAAGGAAAGAGTTTTGTTCAAGTAATCAAATGGGTAAAAAAAATTTTCAGTCTTCTCGTTATTAGTTTCGAGAGAAGTAAGCTAACTTTTTCAAAAATCGTTTTTTCACTCACTTTATAGAGAAACGTTTTGAAAATTATTTTAGAGTTATCTCCAAATAGAATGAACCGATCTCGCTGATATTGCTACATAAAAGAGAGCATAAAAAGTTGTACATACGATAAAAGTTTCAGAGTGATTTAATG